CGTCAATCAGCTGGATGACTTTTTTTACACTGTAAAAACGTGATTAAAAAAAAAAAAAGTGAGTAAACCTGTTCCTCTTAAAGCAGGGGTGTCCAATCTCAGTCCTGGAGGTCCGGTTTCGAGCAAAGTTTTGTTCCAACCTCAATCAGATGCACCCAGTCTAGCTAATCAAGCTCTTCCTAGGCTTTCTAGAAACATCTTGCAGGTGTGTTAAGGCCAGCTGGAGTTAAAATCAGCAGGACACCAGCCCTCCAGGATTGAGTTTGGACACTCGTGTCTCAAAGCTACAAGTTGATTTCAGTTATAAAGAAGTCACTGTAAAAAGTGAATAGTTGCTAGTTAATAGTTTAAGTTTACTTAAATTGAGTAACCTTGTTGCCTTATGATTATTAAGTAAACAAACTAAATGTAATGTCTCTTATTTATCAGGGGTCGACACAGCGGAATGAACCGCCAACTTATCCGGCACATGTTTCACGCAGCGGATGCCCTTCCAGCCACAACCCAGTACTGTGAAACACCCATACACTCTCATGTACAGAAACGCCAAGTGGCCTAGCTGGGACTCAAACCAGCAACCTTCTTGCTGTGAAGCGACAGTGCTAACCACTGAGCCACCGTGCAGAGTATGTGCATAATTATAAGTTTTAAGAGTTCCCACTTAGATAATGATTGACTATTTTAGCAGGTTTGGCATGCTGTCCCATGAGAGAACCCTGAGCTCGGAGACCAAGGCTCTCGTCTGGTCAATAAGCATTAAGAGGGATACGTGATCAGGTAGTTCTTGATAACTTCCCAAGAATAGGCCGCCAACTGTGCAAATGTGTACATAATAGCTGCTTGAGGCTAACTTTTGTTACATGTCTTTAGACTGTGGGAGGAAACCGAAGTACCCAGGGAAAACCCACGCAGGCACGGGAAGAACATGCAAACTCTGCGGAGGAAGTGTCGACTGGCTCAGCTAGTGTTTGAACCAACTACCCTCTTGCTGTGGGGCAACAGTGCTAGCCACTGAGCCACCGCGTCGCTCGATCTTAGAACTGAGGAGGAGGAGGGGGGGGGGGGTCTTCCAAAACGAAGATGAGGAATGAGGTTCAGGCGGGATATTTATATGTAAATTTGGAATGATCCGATTGGCTAGTGATAAGGACACAAGTAAAATCCACTTTTTGCTTTTTAAGGCACCGGGTTTACTCACTTTAAGTTAAGTAACTAGTTGCTTTTTACAGTGTAGTAAAATTCTAATCTGGAACTGTTAAGTTGACTTCATTTTTATAATTATGCAGAGTTAATTTACTTAATCATTTTAAGGCAATGGGCTTTCTCTTTTTTTTTTTTTTTTTTTTTAAGCGATATTTCACCCAATTATGAAATTTCTGTCATTATTTATTTAACCTTTATGTTTCTCTCTGCTGAACACCAAAGAAGATATTTTGAAGAACGCTGAAAACCTGTAACCATTGACTTCCAAAGTATGTTCTCTAGTTTAAAAGTCGATGGTTACAGGTTTTCAGCATTCTTCAGAATATCAAATTTATGTTTAACAGAAACGACTCACAAATGTTTAGAACCACCAAGTGATTTTTAACCCTTTGATAAACAAGTTATAAAACAGATATAGAAAAAATAAACTTAAGACGGGTCAATTTGGACTCATGTAGTGCATCAAAGGGTTAAACAGTGAGTCAATTACATTTTTTAAAAGCAAAAGTTCAACCAGAAATGAAAATTCTGTCGTTATTTACTCAAACTCTGTTTCTTTCTTCTTCTAAACACCAAAGAGGATATCCTGAAGAAAGCTGAACATCCCTAACTATTGAGTTCCATAGGATTTTTGTCATAAAAAGTCAATGGTTACAGGTTTTCAGCATTCTTCAAATTATCTTCTTTGATGTTCAGCAGAAACTAAAAGTAACTCACAGATGTTTTTATCTTAAGGGTGATTTTTAATAGTGAGTTGAATTTATGTTTTTGGTGAACTATCCCTTTAAGTAAAGTCAACTAATCGCTGTAGAGGCATCATGTTTACTCACGTTTTTTAAAGTAAATTCAACTTATCACTCAGCAGAGGTGCCCATACTCAGTCCTAGAGGGTTGGTGTCCTGCATAGTTTAGTTCCAGCTTTCTTCATCACACCTGCCTGGATGTTTCTAGTATACATAGTTACAGCTTGATCAGCTGGTTCAGGTGTTTAACCAGGGTTAGAACTAAAATATGCAAGACATCGGCTCTCCAGGACTGAGTTTGGGTACCCCCATTTTAGAGTGGTAGATGCTTCTGAAGGCCTAATTTCTTCAGGAAAATCAGAGGTTTGTGGCTTATCGAGGTAACAGCAGGTGCGCAGAGGAATGATTAACTCAAATAAGAAACTACTGCATTCAAACCACAGCTTCAGACTGGCTGCTGATGGAGCATGTGGGGGATTTTTTTTTCTTGAGAAGTTTTACTCTTTCTCTATCAGTTCAGAATGAGACAGTGCAAAAACAAAAATGATTTCCTATTAGACTTTTTGTCTTGTTTATATTCCAAATATCCCACAATTCCCAAATCAAGCATTTTATAGACAAGCAAAAAATATTTTTGTTTTCAGAAACGTCCAAATTAAGTGTTTTTCCTTAAAAGGTCACGAAACATATATGACTGTCAACATCTCAAAAAATGTGTGTCCATTTCTGCTTTTAAACACTATTAGGACACGTGTATCTCACAAAAAGTGAAAATTGGCTGTTTTCGCGTTATTTCAAGCAAATTATTTCGGTTTAAAATGAATTTTTGTAGCTGCGTCACGGTGATTAAATCCTTACGTGAATTCCAGCGTGGAGACTGGCTGTGTGTACCAGCGAGTACATCGTGACGTCTCTGAGTGTGCTGCATTAATTCATGAGAAAGACTTGGTTCAAACCAATGTGTATGAGGTGCAACTTCGAAGCTATCATGCATATCAATGAAGTTTTTACCCGTTACAGAGTTCAGACGGCAGAGAGATGCTACGTTGTGTTGCCGAAACAAGTGGAAGATAAATTGTTTGAAGACACGGGTCGTCAGTGTTGTGTTTATAAATGTGCTGCAACGAAGGTTTTGTTTTCATTTCCCGCTATGAGAGCACAGCTGGACTCACAAGAGGATTACACTGACACGCGACAGTGTTTGTTAAGAACATTTTTACACAAGAGCTTTTCGCTAGAGATCTGCGCGGGACTAAATTTTGAATCCCGCTCCCGCCCGCACCCGCCAGGTTTTAGCCCGAACCCGACTGTCCCGCTTGTATTAAGAATTTATTGTCCCGCTGCCCGACCCGCCCCCGCTTGTATTAAGAATTTATTGTCCCGCTGCCCGACCCGCCCCGTTTTCTGCCCGCCGCGCCTGATCCCGCTAAAGAGCGGGGGAGACCAAAACCGAAAATCCCCCAGCGCGCGCGCGCACTAACACACACACAAGCACCAAGCAGACACACAGGCGTTTGCTGTTACATCAACTCAAAGGCTTGTAATACCTTGTATCAAGTACCAATGTAATACCAAAAGGTTTTATATAAAGGTATATAAATACTGAGTCGCGCCAGCTCCGGGCCGCAGCGCACATTACTCTCGGGCCGATTCCGGCACGGATGTGGCAGCGTTGGCTCGCTTACGGCCGCCGCATCTGGCCCGATTGATTCGGGCCGGAATCGGGCAGTGAGTCCACAAGCATCCAGAGTCCGGCAGCCGGAGCCGGGCTGAGTGATAAGTCTCCGGCAGGCGAGAATCTAGCCGGAACTGGCCCGAGTGTATTTTGCTATCTGGGAAAGCTTTCTCTCTCTCTCTCATTCACACACGCGCACTAACATACACACACACAAGCACCAAGCACTCACACAGGCAAAGCTCGCTCTCTCGCTCTCTCATTCGCATAGCAATATCCGCGATATTGCTAGACAGCCCGCTCCCGTCCCAAATTAAACCCATTACCGACCGCTCCCGCGATTTATTCGGAAATGCAGACCTCTACTTTTCGCATCTGGAAATGGTGAAATTAGATTTGCCGCTCATCTTCATTTAAAAAAAAAGACACAGTTCCAGTTAGTGTTGATTGACCTGTCTCTACGGATTTGGTAAGTGAGCGATCAGTGTCGTTTGTATACTCAGAGGCAAAGTAAGTTCGCATCGTCGTCAGCAGTACTCTGTTTTTATAGATATATCTTAATCAAAATGATTTAGTTACTAAGTTTACAGTACGTTAATATCAATACAATTTTATCAACTGGAAGGTCTGCTGTAAATGCTGCTATGCGAATGTAAACATGTAAACACCGCAATCAACTTATTACCGTCGTGACAGTTATACTGCGCATTTTGTGACAGGATAGTCTAAACACATGCACTCGGTAGGTAGCATCAGAAAGCTGCTTGTAAGTTACAGAGAAATGCAGAGTTGTTTTTTCTCCTATACAACGTGCGGTATCAAATTCGATTAAAACTACACTCTTCCAGCAGTTCCTCACAACCTATATCTTGTTTTTCATGGGGGACATGCATGAAATGTTCCTGAATGAAAGTGAAAGTGCCAAACTGCAGTTAAAGTCCACAAATTAATAATTTGGCAAATAATTCGATTATATATGTTCATTCTCCACTGCACGGCGATAATTTTGCCTATGATAATCAGCGTGTGCCCAAACGGAAACTCACTTTTATGCAAACCCTTCCCTCTTTACCTCCCCCGACTCACCCACTTTCCTATCTTTTTTAAAACTAGAGGTGTGAAAACACCCTACTGAGACGGTGGGGGTTTCATGGCCCTTTAAAACAATGAAAATAATCTGCCAACGGAGGAAGCAAAATAATCTAGTTTTCACTTTGAAATGGGCTTACTCCATTGGCAGAATTTTTTCATTGTTGTAAGGAAAAACTCACTTAAATTTGACACATCATTTCTGAAAACAAAGACAATATTTTTTGCTTTCTGAAAAATGCTTCTTGATTTAGGAATTTTTAGATATTTGGACTACTAAGTAACAAATGTTTTTTTTTTTTTTGCAATGTAAACAGGCCCAGACAAAATCTGCATGTAGATTTCCACGTAATTGTTATGCAAGTTTATTAAACAAGTTGGCTACAGTCAATTAGGAACAGCTTATTTGAAACCCCTTTTGCAGAAAAGCATTGCAGACTGTGCCTGGGGCCTGATCATAAGGTATTAAATGCATACAAACACACTCAATCAATCTATATCAATCTCTCTCTCTCTCTCTCTCTCTACATATATCAATCTCTCTCTCATTCTCTCATCTGTTTTTGTTCTCCTGCTGAATTAAGTTAAAATGAGTAGCTTTTGTAGTGATACATGCATCCGGTAGACTGCTGATTTACATATTCTTCTTTAAAAATGAAAAGTAAAAAAAAAAAGAAAGTATTAGAAACACAGCTATACAGAGTCTTTAGCTAATCCGAGGAGGAGGAGCGAGGTTTTGGAAGGAGGAGCCCCATGTCCAGATGTGATGCGGTTGGTTAGGAGGTGAGGAGCGTGGTTTAGGTGCTACAGCAGGGGCCTTTGGCGGGCTGTGCTGTTTCTGTTAGATCCACTCCTCTGTTGCGGGCTGTGTTGGCACCTGCGGGCTGGGGCTCGTTCTTCGGGAGCTTCTTTGCTAAGGTGCAGAGACAGACATGGAAGTGTTTAGTAAATAAGAGGAGCGATCTTTTATTAGGTTTGCAAGTGTGCATAAGAGTTTGATCTCCAAATGATGTACAGTTATTAGCCCTCCTGAATTAACAGCCTAATTTCTGTTCAACAGATTATTTTTCAACACATTTCTAAAGATAACAGTTTTAACTAGAAAAGTAAAGTTCGTAGACAAACTTTGTAGTGGCTTAAGAAAGCCTAGCCTGAAAGTTTGAAGTCGTTTTTACAAAGTTTGAAACAGTCGGCATAAATAGAGAAGTACATGTGTGTTAGCTTTCCCAGAGATGGGTTGCGGCTGGAAGGGCATCCGCTGCGTAAAAACTTGCTGCATAAGTTGGCGGTTCATTCCACTGTGGCGACCCAGAATTAATAAGGACTAAGCCGACAAGAAAATGAATGAATAAATGTGTGTTAGCATGTTTCTTGTATGGATAGTGCGATTTGGAAAACAGCCACTAGGTGGTGCGGCAGCCATTTTGGAATTAAAATTCCATTAGAACAACAGCATATTATAAGTCTGTAAAATAAACTATTAAAAGGGCTGGTGATTGTGATAGTAAGTGTTGTATTGGCGTCTTTCAGGTTGTATCTCAGCGTTAATGTGCTTTTTAAATAAATAAAAAACAAAGCAGCTTCTTGCCATCGCGACAGCAATAAGATCCAATGGACAGCCGCAGATCGCTTTCACTTCGAAATGGCAGAATCTGGGGCTGTTGCAATGGAACCTTCTACTGAGTGTCGCCTCTTGGTCATTCTAAGCTCTGGTGTAGATTAAAAAAAAAAAAGTACACAACTGAATTGTAATCGAAAAGCAACAAATCACTTTCATCTGTTTCTTTTTGACGATGTACAAAACAACTGTGAGTGTATTGTTTTGATTTATCCTTATAATGTCCTTGATTGATTAATGTAATCCCTGTATTTGTTTATTTATGAAATTTATCTGTATTTTATAATTTCGTTCATTTCTGAAACATCTGAATCTTGAGTTTTGGATGTTTTGTGTAGCCAATGTGGAAAACCCTGTACACCATACATCTGTATGTTAATTTGGAAACTAATAAAAACTAAATAAAAAAAAAGTTATTGAAAAAAATTAAAACTGCTTTTTATTCTAGCCTAAAATAAAACAAAAAAGGCTTTCTCCAGAAGAAAAAATATAGAAAATACTGTAAAAAAAGCCTTGCTTTGTTAAAAAATCATTTGTGAAATGCAAACAATTTCGGAGGAGGGCTAATCATTTTGACTTCAACTGTACTTGCCAGAACCAAAACCAGATATTCCAGGTAGAAAGTTCACAGTTGGGCCCCGAGGGCTCACGCTTAGATTTTTTAGCATTTTGTTTGTTTGAGTGGCATAGATGTGGATCAAAGGTAACGTCTATGATAATATGTAATTGGTAACTCGATGATGTGTGATCTGACATTATGAAGCATGCTGTTCACACAAAAACTGCATCTTGAATCCTTAATTATGAGCCAATTAGACTGCAGTTAAACTAACGCTATATTTGAAGATGTAAACCTAAAAATAACCAATTATGTTTTATTTATTTCTTTATTTATAGTTAGTTATTATACTTATTTACATCTAGCATCTGAAGGGCTTTACTTTGAGAAAACACCTCGGTCCTGGAGGGCCGGTGTCCTGCAAAGTTTAGTTCCAACCCCAATCAGACACACCTGGGCTAGCTAATCAAGCCTTTACTAGGCTTTCTAGAAACATCCCTGCAGGTGTGTTGAGGCAAGTTGGAGCTGAAATCTGCAGGGCAACAGCCCTCCAGGACTGTGTTTGGGCAGCCCTGTTTTAGAACGTCCAATTCAGTTGCCTATGGAGGAAATAACTAGGAATAAAACACAGCAGAAAACAATCAAACTACTTACTCTACAAACAAGTGTGTTCATGACTATACAGACAAAGCAGAATAATACAATATTAAATTATCAGTTTGCAACAGCAGAACGAGCTGTTTTTAACGTCTAAAAATAAATGGAAGTGAATAGCCGCGTTTCCACTATCGCGCCTAAAGCGAGCGAGCCAAGGCCAGTGGCGTTTCCACTGTCACTTCCGGGGCCTAATCGGGCCAAAGCGGGGCTTTCTTGGGGCCAGTGGCTGGCCTTTTTTGGCCCGCCGAATACCTTGGGCCAAAGAGGGCCAGCCAGGACTTCGGGGCGGAGTGAAAGGAGAGGCGGGCACATTTTTCCGATCGCACACGAGTACATGCGCCAAACACATAAACAAACAAATAAATAAATAAGGGAAAGAAAACATCTGGAACAAATTATAGGCTGGGGTCTTTTTTGCATATGATCGCCCTTATGTTTCTCTTTTAAATGTAAGGCTGTTGCATAAAATGATCTTTCTTTGCTGCATTTTGATGTTTCAATAACGCATAATAATCTTTACACCATATTAAAGACACAGCAGACAGTAAAGGTTTTCAAGAGGTTTTGTCAAGTTTAATAAGTGTGTTTTTGCGCGTTTAGATGTCTGTGTATGTGTGTGAGACCGAGGAAAAGAGCGCTCCATTCATAGCTCTGTTGATGCCGCGAGCGGCTTTTTTCTTTTATTTTTATTGTTTTAATTCATTTTGGTGATAATACACTATATGAATACAACAGTAAGACATTAAACTTTACAAATTTCATGTCCACTTTTGTAGGCTCAAAACAATAGTGTCATATCTAGATAAAATAGCCTAAGCTATATTTAAATAATGTAAAGAATTACAAATATCAGATAGGCCTATAATAAAATCACATTAAATAAATAAACCAATATAAAACTAACAAAAGCTATAGCTATAACAATTAGGTACTATATCAAACTGTTTCAAATTTATTGGGATGCATGTTAGGCAGATTCTGTCTAGAGGATGTTATAAAATACATTTTATATCAAGTTATTAACGGAGAATTTTATATATGTGGTGTTATATTATGGATGTGTGCGCTCCCTGCGCTGGGTCCCTCCGTTGGTGGCAAGACCACTGGATTTCAATGCAAATAGTCGGTCATCGAGTAAATTAATATGATGAATGAAAACACACAGGCATGTGCGTATAGACATGCGTTGTACTGCTGTACAGTAACGTGTCATTTGTTTGTTTTGGTTGTCCTAATTTTAATAGTTTCGTGATGATGTGCTTTATCTGCATGATTCTCGCTGAAGTGGGCGGTTTGAGTGACAATCGATTCAGGGGATGGTCAGGGGGCGGGGTTTGCATGACGCGCTGCGAGCTACTAGCCCCACAGTGGAAACGTGACATGATTTCGGCCTCACTGCTCAACCTCTCGGGCGATTGGCCCGGCCTGGCCCGATTTAAGCCCTGGCTCGCACTGGCCTAATAGTGGAAATGCGGCTAATGACACTTGAAGTCTCGAGCCAGACAGATTTAAATGGCTTTGCCCACTCGCAAAGAATAAGGTCAATAGATCAGGGGTCGGCAACCTTTGCAACCAAAAGGGGCATTTTGGTCATTCTCCCTTCAAATAAAATTTGCCCGGAGACCATTTAAATGAATATAACACAATGTAATGTAATTAAGATGTATTTAAATGCCTGACACTGTGACTTCTATTATAGTTTTGGCCTTACAGTGTTTAATTACATGACATTGTTTAATTGACTTTTACCCATGAACTATAGCATTTTCTCATTTAAATTAACCAAAAATAAAGCAATATTTACCAAAATAATATTTATTCTGCATTTCTGAAATTTATGAACTGTAATAAAGAAATTATAAAGAAAAATGCTGTGGTTCAAAGCTTCTATTGAAGTGCAAACAGAAATGAAGGTCTATTTGAGTCTTGTAGACATTCCCAACAAGTGTCTTCACAGAGGGAAAAAAAAACAGATTTTAATAACGACGTAGCAACAGTGTTAATCAGTTTGAGCGTTAACAGCTGTTCAAGGGAGTTATAAATATTATCAAACAGAAATATACACTCACTTTATTAGGTACACCTTACAAGTACCGGGTTGGACCCCTATTGCCTTCAGAACTGCCCTTAATCCTTCGTTGCATGGATTTAACAAGGTGCTGGAAATATTCCTCAGAGATTTTGCTCCATATTGACATGATAGCATCACGCAGTTGCTGCACATTTGTTTGCTGCATCCATGATGTGAATCTCCCGTTCCAACACATCCCAAAGATGCTCTATTGGATTGAGTTCTGGTGACTGTGGAGGCCATTTGAGTACAGTAAACTCATTATCATGTTCAAGTAACCAGAGATAAGTTGTGCTTTATGACATGGCGTGCTATCCTGTTGGAAGTAGCCATTAGAAGATGGGTTCACAGTGGTCATCAAGGGATGGACATGGTCAGCAACAATACTCGGGTAAGCTGTGGCGTTGAACCAATGCTCATTTGGTACTAATGGGCCAAAAGTGTGCCAAGCAAATATCCCCCACACCATTACACCACCACCACCAGCATGAACAGTTGATACAAGGCAGGATGGATCCATGCTTTCATGTTGTTGACTCCCAATTCTGACCCTACCATTCTAATGTTGCAACAGAAATCCTCTTTTATCCCCATTCTGATGCTCGGTTTGAACTGCAGCATATTGTCTTGACCATGTCTTCATGCATTAAGTTGCTGCTATGTGATTGGCTGATTAGAATTTTGTGTTAACAAGCAGTTGGACAGTGTACCTAATAAAGTGGCCGGTGAGTGTATACATGAGGCATAAAACCCAAGAGGCACACAATGATTTAAAACTTATCATCCGCAGCAAAAAAGTGTTTATCAGGGGGGCAGAGCACTGTTAATATATCCATTTAGAATGAATAACACAGTAATTCTTATTGGCCTGGTCAACAGTATATAACTATTTGTCAAAAAAGTAGCCAGTTATTCTGGTTGACAACTTACCGATCGCCATAAAAATCTCACTGACGTTCATTGAAGTCTTTGCCGACGTTTCCATAAAGAGCAAACTGTTGTCATCTGCATATGATTGCGCATCCTGTGTCCGACAGAAAACAAGTGAGGGTTTGAAACTGGAAACAGACAGTTTGTACGCGTCTGAAAGTCTGCGCGGCATGCTTGTTTGTTTCTAAACAGTTCCGCATCTCATTTGTAAAGCCAACAGGAAGCGTCTGCTCCTCTGTGGCTGTTCAAACACCACTAACCTGAAAGTCCAACGCTCTCTTGTTGGCAAGGTCTGCCTTGTTCCCAGCCAAAGCTATTACAATATTTGGACTGGCTTGTCTTTGAAGCTCTTTCACCCAGTTTTTCGCACGTGCAAATGATTCCTAAAAAAAAAAAAAAAAAAAAAAAAGGACAGGGGGAGAGGGGGGGGGGGTAACACATGCATTTAAAGTTACAAAAACTTGTTTTTATCATTTAAGAAATTGCCAAAATTCGTTCTTTCCTATCTTTTGATGATGCCAAGAAATGAATTCATGCTTTTATTTTCTCGCTTTGATTATTGCAATGCTATTTATACTGGTTTACCTAAGGGTTCTATAATGAAGTTGCAACTGATACAAAATGCAGCAGCCAGAGTTTTAATGAAATTGAAGAAACGAGAGCCCATCACACGCGTATTAATAGAATTACACTGGTTACCTGTGCACCAAAAAATAGATTTTAAGAATCTTTTATTGGTTTATAAAGCACTTCACAACATGACACCTTCCTATATTTCCGACTGTTTATCAAAATATAATCCAAACTGTTTGCTGCGCTCTTCTATCGCTGGGCTTTTAGAATTTTACTCCGTAAACCTGATGCGATCTGGCGACACTTCTGTTAGCCATAATGCTCTAAAAATTTGGAACTGTCTCCCTCTTAAAGTGAAAGAATCTCCTAGTATTCATTATTTTAAAAAGCGTGTTAAGACACATCTTTTTAAATTTGCGTATGAATGCACAAGCTTTTAAGGTGTATGCATTTTATCTACATTGTTCTAGGTTTATGTGTGTATGTATGGTGTGTGCTTGCAGATGTATATAGTATATATTGTATATATTTTGTGTACATGAATGCTTTTATCTGAGCATATGTGACAAGTTTATGTGGTCTATTTTAATGCTTTTTTGTTGTTGTTTGTGAGGCACTTTGAGTTGCATGTATGTTGGAAAAGTGCTATACAAAAAAATATTATTATTATTATTATTATTATTATTATTATCTGTATTCGAAGCTTTCTTGTTTGTGCTTAATGTTGTCATTTACATGTTTTTCATAATTATGTTTTTCTGTGATGAGTCCACTTATTATGCTAGCAGTAATTTAGCTAGGAAAACAAATTTCACCCTTTTGTTGACCTGTTGATATATTAAATGGAATGTTTTTTTTTTATTTGTCTATGTTAACACCATTTACTTATGTTAAACATTTGATGCAATTTGTAGTCATTCACTCACAGGGAGGCAGAAAGGACTTTAGAAAGACTCATTTTTACAGGTTAGTTTAAATAAAAATGGCTTGTATGAGGACATTTGTAGTCATTTTACAGTCTTAAAAGATTAAGAAAAAGTACTTGTTGTAAAAAGTGCAGACTGAATGAAGCACGCCAGGACTCACTTCATTTGTGATGTCATACACCACTATGGCCGCCTGTGCTCCTCTGTAATACATTGGGGCCAGACTGTGGTAGCGCTCCTGGCCAGCTGTATCCCAGATCTCAAACTTCACCGTTGTGTCATCCAGACATAATGTTTGAGTCAAGAAGGCGGCTAATGGAGACAGACAGACATGCATTAGATTATAGGGCTACTCCATTTTGGGGAAAAAATCACGATTATTTTGGTCATAATTGAAATCACGATTATTCAAAACCATTACTGTTAAAGTCAAAATTATTAGCGCTCCTGAGAATTTTTTAAAAAATAAATATTTCCCAAATGATGTTTAACAGAGCAAGGAATTTTAACAATATTTCCCCTTATATTTTTTCTTCTAGAGGAAGGCTTTTTTATTTTTATTTTGGCTAGAATAAAAGCAGGTTTAAAAATTTTGAAACCCATTTTAAAGTCTAAAATATTAGCCCCCTTAAGCAATATATTTTTTTGATTGTCTGCAGAAGAAACTACTGTAATACAATGACCTGCCTAATAACACTAATTAAGCCTTTAAATCACACTTTGAATCTGAATGCTTGCATTTTGAAAAAATATCTAGTCAAATATTATGTGCTCTCATCATGACAAAGATAAATTAGATCAGTTATTATAAAAGTGTTATTAAAGCTATTATGTTAAGAAATCTTCTTTCCATTAAACAGAAATTGGGGGGAAAAGGGTTGCTAATATTCAGGAGGGCTAATAATTCAGACTTCAACTGAGTTATTTTCCACCCTGCAAAGGAAAGAGAAATTAAAACAATAGAATAAAATATAAAACAAACTGTGCTTAAAGCATCTTCACTTTAAGAAACACTTTAGCTACAAAAGTTCTTCAGTCAAGAGCAGAGGCATGTTCTCCATTTGTTGTTTGATTAATAATCAGAAAAACAGGCGGCAGAAGGATTATAGCGCGCTGTCTCTTTAATAGTTTAGAGAATCTCAACTCGTTTGTTTATTACACAAATGATGGTTGACATGAATCAGACAGAATCATGCGGTCTTTCGCACTTTTAAGAGCAACACGTGTACAACTGGAAAGGGGGCGGTAAATGATGCAATAATCGTTTATCTCGATTAATGATTTTTCATAATCGTTGGAAGGCATAATCGAAATTGAATTTTCGATTAATTGCACAGCCCTATTAGATTATATACAGACAGCATCTGGTAACTGCTTATAATTAAATCTGGGCTGTGTGAAATGTAATATTTATAATCTTCAGAGTTGGGTGTAACGCGTTCCACAGTAAAGTGTTACTGTTTTTTAAGGGCGTACTTACACTATGTGCAGTTGCCTTGAACCGGGACGAAGCACGTTTGTCCCCCCCCTCCCGTCTCCCCTGACGGCCCACACTCACATTGCACTGGCGCCTGAGCATGCTTACGTCATCGATGATGCGCTGTTCAGTGAGAAGTGATCTCGCTCAGCACTGTGGAGATTTCTTTAGTTGTATCGTTTTAGTCGTTTAGGATGCAGTGACACCCTTAAATATTTTGCCGAATAGATCAGCCACTTTTGACGCTAATAAACAATCATAAAGTCATCGTGCTGCAGGAGCAGCTGTCATGCAGTGAGGGGTTTGCGTCTTTAAAAAAAACTGTGACAGTTTGCATTCATTGAACAGTAAGGACCATCTTTAACAACAAGCGAGAACCATCCATAACAACGAGCGAGTCAAATTTCTCTCTTCTTCTTTCTAAACTTCTGTCAGAAGTTTAAAGTTGTGTAGCGCCATCTAATGTCAAGGAGTGGTTTTGCATACTCCTCTGCTGGACGCCAGTGAAAATCACTTGGGTTTGAATCCGGAAAAACGTCTCAAATTGCTGACGATAAACGTAAACGAAAAGCATCTCTGTGTACGAGCCTTCTGAATGTTTAATAAACACTCATAAAACAGTCCCTTAAAAGTCACGTCTCGTCTTTAGTTTCCGGCTCAGGCGCCCAAGTGAACCGCGCTCTGGCACACCTCTTCCAACCAGGCCAGGGCCAGCCAACACTTCTCAAACTATCTGGGAAACGGGCCTGGTTCGAATAGCACAGTGTGAGTACACCCCCAATTAAATTTTTGGGGAACTCAGTAATGTAACAAATTAAATTGTTTAATTTGTGTAATCTGACTAAAGTTACTAAAGTCAGAGTAATTGCATTGTAACTATTTAGAAAACAATATTTGCTTTTTGTTTTTTTTAAATCTTGTTTTTCTGCAGTGACAGTTAATGAGCATTCGCTTTTAAATTTCTGGAGAATTTGAGCTGAAATAAGTGCTGAAATAGTTGCTGACGAAAGCGGAAATCAAAAGAACTTTTGACTGCTTTTAACTCTACCAGCAACTTGTTCAAGCACAGAAAGCATTTTAAAACAATACTCGTCGAAAAGGAAGACACCGGTGCCCAAAAAAGCAGCGGTCCAACTCAATCTAAACAAGCTAAATTTAATTTTTGTGAAGGATCGGGAGTGAAGGTAACTTCTGAAAATATTAAGAGATGCATAGCTGCTTATGGGGCCGTTCACATATCTCGTCTTAGTGCACAAGTTCGTTATTTCCTTCAGGAGGTGCACAGCAATGGGCATGCGGCGTGCAATTGGCGCAACACACTCAAATATTCCAGATTTAACGTATTCCACATTTGAGCATTTACAGTTTGTCTCCACAACTGCAGATATAGTATGTTTTTCCTACTATGAATGTCAATTATTACAGGCATCCAGTTTTCAAAAGAGCAACCCAAAAAAGACAACCTTGGAACAAGTGAAGATTAAGTAAATAATGAGAGAATTTCTAGTTATTTTATCTTTAAGTCTTTTGAATTTGTCAAGCTTCTGTGTTAAACACATTGAATTGTTTTTTTCAGCGAATATTAAATTACATTGTATTTTTTTGTATGTTTTAAAAGTTACCTCATATAAAAAGTAATCAGATTACCAATAACTTTACCTTGAAGTAATTAGTTAAGTAATCAAATTACAATTCTCCAGTGGTAAACGGTAATTTGTCAGATAACTTTTAAGTAATTTACCCAAAACTAATGCTGCGTTCACACCAGACGCGGAACGCGCGGATAAATTGCGCTATTTGCGCGTAAATAGCCGCGTAAACATTTGAGTTTACTCACTTCATTTGCGCGTCGAATCCGCTTCATTCGCACGTCAAATTCACTTCAGAACAGACGCGGATTCGCATGATGGGCAGGGCTTCTGTCTGCCCGGTGACTCTAGCTTCATAGCTAAATAGCTAACATGGATTTTATTGAGAAAATAACTGTTTATGTGCTTTATGAAGGCTGAAAAACAGCGTCGATACGTTTAGGGCCGTGTCTGAGTCCACTAGATCATTTCAGAGGTGGAGCTCTGTGAGAACTCCAGCTCTGTGAGTTCATCAACTTCTCCAGAAACTTAACCTGGATGACGGAGGCTTTCAGCGGTGCTTCTGACTGAGCCCAGCCCAGTTTGATGAACTTTTTGTCGGTGTCGGCTGGAGGATTTCCCCCGATACTCCAACAACAGATGTACATCTAAATCTCGCCCCCACAAGAACAAGCTCCTGATTGGTTAACCTGGCGCGAATGTCCGGTAAAGTTCAGACTTTCGAACTCAAGCAATTCTCGCGAAATGCACATTAAACGTGCAAAACGCTCAATTCGCGCATATCGCGCTGCAGGATGCCTATTCACGCGTTTGCATTAACTTAACATGTTAATCACTCGTGCTTGACGCGCGTTCCGCATCTGGTGTGAACGCAGCATGACAATCACAATTTAAACTTCGTATGGAGACATACGAGATTATGAATGTATATTAAATATATAGAAAAAACTAAATGTAATAAACACAATGTGCATATCTGTCTAACCTATTTGTAATATCTTCTATTGTCACATTTTTTAAGGAATATCACAATTTTAACAGCAAACTTCTGTAAAACCTCTCAAATAAAGGGAATTGTTACTTTTTACTTGACAATCTTATGATTAATTAAATTGTACATTTAATTGTAATCTTATTTGCATTTTATTAAATCCAAACAATTAACAAAAAGGGCATGACTCTAAAATGAAAACTACTTGCTCTTGTAGTATTTCATAGTGCTCTGATGATATAGTTCGTACATACTTTCCTTAAGAACATTAAAGGTATCAATTAACTAAATACCGTTCCATTAAGCATTTCTTTAATAATTTTTAAAACCTTACTTTACTTCTTAAGACATGTAAACAACAGGCAATGAAGCGTTTGTCTTACCTCCTATTGTGCTTTCCTGAAACTCATGAAACTGTCCTTTTACAAAGCGCAGCACTAGACTCGACTTCCCCACAGCAGACTCTCCCAGCAGCACTAATTTGAACTGACAGATTTTGTTGCCGGTGTTCGGCCCGTTAGGTCTCGTTGCTCCACCTCTTCCTGCCATGACCCAAAACCCCAATCTCCTGTACTGAAGTCAAGACGGTCACTACCAGATCTGCACAAACAGACATTAATAATCTAGTATCAATCCTCATTTAGGAACACTACTACGTAATTTAATATATATCAGGGGTGTCTTGGTTGACTCAATACATCCTGAGGTAAACCATTTATGTACAGTGCTAAGCATATATGAGTACACCCCTCACAAATCTCTCTTTTAAATTTATATTTTCTATAGGATGATGCTTTATAATAGTTAATTTGTGCATATGCATTAGATTAGTCAGTAGTGAAGCCAAACTTGAGGCTAATCTAGCAAAAAAAATCAAAAGAACAGTCCAAATATTAGTAGTCCAAATGTATATGTTAGGAAAAAATATTAAATGCAAATTTTAAAAAGAGGAAAAATCAAGAGATACCAAAAATATATAAAGTTTTGTTTTTGCAATATTTTGCATAAATTTAAATGTTTTTTATTATTATTTCTAAAGACGTTTGATGACTAAAATATTATTTTAATAAATATATCTATTTAATAAATCTGTTTTGTTCAAATGCACCAAAATATATTATCTATATTCACTGAGAAATTTATAAAAAAAAAAAATGGGGTGTGCTTATTTATTCTGAGCACTTTATATACTGTAGACAGAAATTAATATGCCATCTTCCATATTATGTAATAAGCAAAAACATGACAAAAAGACTGGGACTGTTCAAAAGACGCAAGTTGTAGAACAAACTAAATGTAATATACGAGAGGGGTCATAGAAACAGTATCTATCTATTGTGTTGGTCATGCCATTAATTACTTGTCAATTCGGTCTCATGATTAATTCACAGACAACAGACATTGTTCAGGAACTGCCAGTCTGTTAAGCTTTAAATATCCTTTGTGCTTTGACCCAAAAAGCCAGTGACGTCTGTCTTGTGTCTATAAATGGCATCCAAATAAAAACAAAGCCATGCTGGGCACACTATAGCTTACAAAATACTAAAGAGACCATATTATGGAAGCCCCTTTATAGTACCCAAGCAAAACCACAATGGAAATAAAAATTATTAATCAATTATAATTAACTTTTTACTCCGAACTATATTTAATTAGTACTGCACAATATCCAGATAAAACAATAAGAATCGGAGACACATAAATTCATCGTTTTGCAGAATTGGTTTTCCAGCGTTTTCTTTTTCTTCCTCCTTATTTTGACTTACCTTTTTGAGCATATGTGCCAAAATAACATTTGGAATTTGGATACAAGTTTTTTTTCTTTCAGATTTGGCTGCATATTTTAAATACTTTATGAAAGAAATAATAAATAGTAAGTAGAATACAAAACTGTGAGGAGTTGTTCGGGTATTCTGTGCATAAACAAATTCTGTGATAAGCACTTACAATGTACACTATTGAAACAACACACTATTCAAACTCAGCCCTCTTTAGTCTCTTTGCTTCAATAGTTAACTAACTCCCAAAGTCTACTCGACATAATATGCTATAAATATACTTTATATATAACCCTGTTTACATCTGATGTGAGATAAAAAGTATGAGGCAGAGTGACAGTGCAAAACACACGTCATATCCATGATCAATCAGCACGTATGATAGTTTATAACCCATTCAAACTAAAAAGCGATGCATTGTCATTTATTTGCACGTAATATTAGATTTATTAGTAGATGATCCAATAAAATGAACATGGCTGATAAAATTACAATTTTTTTCTTAAAAGTTAGCTTAATCTCCTCAAAACAAACAGTATGTTTTAAAGGCTGATTTTGTGTTTACAGAACAAATCTGTGGGTATCTTCCACTTCTGACAGAGGGTAAAATAAATGCACCGCCACTTAATTATTCAAATGGAAAATGTATTTAGTGTCATATGAAGCTCGAGCTACATGTTAGCTTGTGATGCTAACTGTGCTAATTATATTAAATGTTCCGCTGTTGTTGTCTGTAATACACACATGTAAACACACACTCAGCTCAGTGACAATCGTGTTCCGATCGTCTCAGTGACACTTTAACCGGTCTGTCAGAAGACTCAGATGCTCCGGTTCAAATGGTTACGGAAAGCTAATGGTGCTAACGTTAATGCTAAGAAAAAAACAGGCCGCGCGCTCTGCGCGCACACACAAACCTGAGCGTGACACCATGTAGAATAAACCATTACAAATCAAGAAACACATAAATAGCTGAAAAACAATGTGGTTTACTTTAATAACAACATCGCTAAATCTATATAACGGTAAAAATGTTTAAAGCCCAAAGAATCGTACCTTCCTCTAGGTTCCTCCCAACTTCCCCTTTTGCGTCAAAACTGATGATGACGGATCGAATGACTGGATCTGACGTCAGACGCGTTGAACAGAAATCGTCCAATCAGAACATTCTGATGTATTTTTTTGTTTGTTTTCATAACACAGTGGATTATAATTTTGTGTACCTATTTTGTTAGTTTATTATTATTATTATTATTATTATTATTATTATTATTATTATTATTATTATTATTGTATTATTATTATTATAAATGTATATTATTATACATAGTCTCCACTTCACTTCCTAATCTGCAATTGCCTCTTTGAATATCACACTAACTGTACAAAAAAAAAAAAAAAAAAAAAAAAAAAATACTACTAACACTTCCCTTCTTAGACTTTATAGACCTGAAACTTGCCTTTAGTACTTATTCATTGTTGCTCTTAGTTGTGTAAATTGCTTCCTTGTCCTCATTTGTAAGTCGCTTTGGATAAAAGCGTCTGCTAAATGACTAAATGTAAATGTAAATGTAATATAAAATGTATGAATCGTTTAACTTTTGAAAGTCATTCAAGTCGTGCAGCAGTACTTATATCTGTATCTGTTCTGTTTATTACGCTTTTGAAACACAATTTATTAAAGCACTATAGAAAACTTAAAACCAAGAATATATTTGTATATATTTCCCCCCAGTTAAAAGCACATTTGAAGCTTATACTTTAGTTGTATGAAGATAACAGATATAACAGTTAAATGTTTATATGGTAAATTGTTTTTAGACTTGTATTCTGACAGGACGTCTGACGGCTTCATTATAAGTACTGTGACGCTGAGTTTCCTCCAGCGCGTTGTCAGGTAACGGAACGTAAACAAACACTGTCTGTCTGCGGTGTGTTTGTTTTTGTGAGGTTTTAGACATAGAGTTGTAAATAAGTGCCGGCATGAGTGTCATTGAGCGGAATTCGTCCACCCGGAGACGCAGAGACGCGTTTCCATCCATCCGTGCGGTATGACTAATGTTTTTTAAAAGTTTTGATCTTTATACACATTTCTCGAAATATTAAGTAATGCCCTGTTGTTGTTTTTTTCACTTAAAGGCTGGAAAGCTCATTCCAATAGGTGACAGAACTAAGTCTTGTCTGCAAGAAATTACACCAAGGGTGGGTTATTCATTGTAACCATCGTGTTTTCATATGTTCGTTTTAAAATATAACATTTTCTTTGTTATAATGTTGTTATTATCAACACTAAACGTTTCTGTACATGTATTCCATTCATTTATTTGTTTTACAGACTGTAACTCCACCAATGGTTAGAAAGTTTGTTCATTCTTTGCGGCCTCCTGTTGGGTCAGTTCGGGTCTTTCATGGAAGAGCAAATGACCCTGACATCGCCACCACTCTAGTTCATGGCGTGAACACTATATCGTCCATTAATGTAAGAAGACATTATCTCAAAATCCTTTTAGTAGTTGTACAGCAGGTGTCACCAACATGGTGCCCGCGGGCACCAGGTAGCCCGCGAGGATCTCATATGTTGCCCGCAGGCCTGTTCTAAAAATAGCTCACCATAGCGCCACTCACCAGTAAGCTTCATCTAATATAGAAGAATCATTTAAAATGTAAATATTTGCAGAGATATATAAAAATAAAGTGTTGCACATTGAAACATTAAATACAGGGTATTTCCTACCCTGTTAAATCATTGTTGATAACTTTTGTGAGAATCATTAACATGATCAGTGTCTTCACATGGATGAATATTATTAATTATTACCAAAAACATAAAGTGTAATTACAAGTAAATTGAGCAAATTTGTTATTTGAGAAGTGTTTATCAAACTGGTAGCAATCTGTACCCAAGAAGTAGCTCTCAGTTTCATAAAGGTTGGTGACCCATGTTGTACAGTAAGTGCATGTTCCCGTTACTTGATATTCAAGTCTTTGTAATTTTTTTTTTTATTTTATTATTATTATAATTTTTTTTTTTGTGAATCTCACAAGGCTAAGCAGGGTGCGAATTATACATGACGATCAGGGGGGTCAACTTTTTCGGTAATGTTAGTTTTTGTAATAACATTACACACTTCAGTGAATCAAATATATGTATTTGTTTAACTACATCTACTTTATTAATAAAACGTATTTAAGTGTTCAGTGTTTTGTGGGATATTGTGTGTATTCTGACCTAGTATCCGATTAGACACTTCTGAGGTTACTGTAAGTCAAACTATGTAACTTGACGTGAATTTACTTTTAGTCTTGTAAAGTTAAGTTGTCTATCGGTGCTCTAGATCTGCCGGTTTCAGACCATTGGATGAGATAAGATGAGACTGATTGGCGCAATTATGTGGTATGAATCATTATAGTGGTCGAATGTATATTTATATTATTAATTATTATTTTTATTAATTCATTCATTAATTTTGTTTTCGGCTCAGTCCCTTTATTAATCAGGGGCCGCCACAGCGGAATGAACTGCCAACTTATTCAGCATATGTTTTACGCTGTGGGTGTTCTTCCAACTGCAACCCAGCACTGGGAAACATCC